TGGGTTCCAAAGATTAATTCCTTTCAAATAACCTGATCAGGACCCGAGTAATTATAAAGGGTACTAGAACAATTCTTAATTTGTTTTGCAGGAACAAGTTTGGGAATCCCTTGAAGATCAGAGTTGCGAAATCAGGTTCGAGTATTTAAACTAATTGTTTTAATTGATATATAACAATATTAATCGATTAAAATAACTTACGTAACATCTGTCCAGTACCATTTTAATCGATTAAAATGTCGAAATAATCGATTGAACTGATCTCAGGATTTTGGTTTAAATGTTTTAATCGATTATAATAATCGTATATCAACTAAAAACACTTAGATATCAAAATTAATCGATTCATTTACGTTTTAATCGGTTTAAATTCAGGTGTCATTTTATTGATCACATTCTATACCAAACTAATCGATTCTTTTATAAACCAATCGATTAATTCATCGTAATCGTTTTCAAACCTAATAGGAAAAATGAAATTAATAGATAATTAGTTGATCAATCGATTAATTAGGTTCGAAAACAAGATTTATAACATCTAATTAAAGTTTGATAGGCCAATTCGAATCAAAAACCCAGTTTCTTTGATAAACAAAATCTGCATAATACTTTCACCCATCGTCCCGTAAATTGTGCCTCCGTAGCGATCAGATAATCATAAATGAGTCTCGGACATGTCCGATTCAAGTTATCTCGTTATGAAACACCCAATTTCCTTTAAATGGCACATGCTTCGAACAAATCCTTGAATTAGAAACTAAGACTAGTGGAATAAATGTGGGAAAGTTATTGCCGATTGAATTATCTGCAAACTTTACATGTGGGAAAGTTATCCATAGATGAAAAAGTTATTTTAACATAGTCATGATTCAAGTCTGTAGACGTCTACATCTCTCTTAATACTTTACATGGAATGCTTTGCGTAGTAATACATTGAAAATCAAAGGAATTATCAAAGAATAGATCGTAACTTTTCTTATAGACACTAGTTACAAACAGGTCAAGTTGTTAGGACTGAAAACATAGTTTATCAAAGATTTTTCGAGTGATAGTTGCTTCGGTAATAAGTTGTTGATTACTAGGAAGTTCAATGAACAAATGTTTACATTAAGATTTCTTGATATTACCTAGCAATATATTTGAAATAATCTTGAGCATACATTGGTTCAAAACTCTTGGTGAAATTCATTGGAACTGTGCAAATTTAAGAATTAGCTTTAATCATCAATGTCACGAGGTGACACCGTAAGGAAACCAATCTGGGACGAGCAATTCAAGAATTGAATAACGTGGCACGAGAGAATGTGTGTACAGGGATCAATTTTATACTATTGATATTGTTCCCTCGTCGAAGGCAAATTTAGTGAAAGCTCGGATTCATCGTCATCACTAGTTCTGTTGTGTATGCATTACTAATCATTGCCCACTCTACCGAATAAGTTTTTTGTTAATCACTTGTGCATATGATACCACTTGGAAACAACAAAGTTAAAAATGATTCATTCCTCAAAGATAATGATGACTGGTTCACTGAAAGTGAGAATATCACCCATCATACTACATTAATAAGAATGCGAGTCATTCGCTTGGATGATGATGACTGCAAAGTTTGAAATAGGTTAGCTATTATGGAAGGAAATTCGATCTCGGTACATCATTAACCTGTGATTCATGCAATTTATGGTATCGTGCATTCGTGTGGGATTTGATAGTGAATGTACGTCTGTCGAGTACATGATTACGCCTCTGGTGTGGAGTAGAAATTCCATTGTGGTGTCAACCATGGACTATAGTACTGATCAATAGTAACAAGAAGCTGCTAAAAGATTTCTTTTCGGGAAAAGTTTACGTATGCATGCTGTCGATACAGGAGAGACAGGTTGTTGTTGTCTCAATAGTTGATAGAGCAAAATTGGTTCCAAGCAAAAGTAAAGTCTATTATCTTTTGATATTGGTGGGGATCAAATGACCGAGTCACGTATTTTGGCATCCGACACAAATAATCGGGGAAATAAGAACAAATTCATTTACACCAAACTGGAGGATTTGCAACTAAACCAAGGAAATTGGGATAATTAAATATTGGTGGATAAAAAGGGTCCCTTCTTACCTTTCCTTTATATCTTATCTCTTTTGATGCTAATTTCAATTTATGATCTGTAGTATCACCTGGTTATTAAACGAAACAATATTTTTAGCCTTGATTTATATAATGTAGGTTGAAAGTTGAAATAGGAAAATCTAGATAGAATTTAAATAGATCCCTGAGAGCTTTAGCTAAATAAGATTTTATTCTGATTTTGATGGATCTATTAGTTAAGATTTAATCAATGTAGTTGTTAGTATTGTTAAACATTCTTCTAGATGATCAGTTTTACAAAATATGCATTAAACATTACTTCATTTTCAAAACTGATTGTTTTAATCAATACAACATCTTTTTAATCAATTAAATGAACTTATACAACATTTTTTTAATCGATTAAAAGTCGAAATAATCGATTAATTTCACTAAAGTTTCATGTTTTCAAATTCTTACATGTTTTAATCGATTAAACCCTTCTTTCAATCGATTTAAATCATTTATCAAAAACATTTTAATCGATTATGTTCTGTTTTTAATCGATTTTTATTCTGGAAAGAAAGATTAAAGGCTTTAGTTAATGGCTGTTCTTGTAACATGCTACTAAAGCGTGATTCCCTTATCTTTACACGTGTTAATTGTATTCATTACAAACGTGTTAATGAAGATAAGCTTGAATCAACTTTAATTGATTTGTTCATGAGTAAAATATTGATTTCTGGCTATTTTCAAAAACTTCAGCATATTTCAAACCTTTACATTTTATTATTTCTCTTCTGTTCCCTATTTTTGATGAAGTCAAAAGGGGGAGAAATAGTTGCTTTACTTGAGGATAAATTTAGAAAAATAACTCTTACATTAAGAGAGCAACATTTTAGAGGGAGAAATAAGTTTTAGGGGGAGAAATAGAACATTATTACATTTTTATATTTCTCACCTAACCTCATTATCAAGTGACTTATTTTGCAGAGATTGTTTTTTCAAAATGGTGTTTGTGTTGAACATTCAAGGACTTGATGTTGCAAATAATGATCATGAAGAATGTTGATTTTGATGATGATCCAAGAGCTTAAAGACTTAAAGTATTGAAGATTGAAGATTGATGATTTCTGTATTGTAATAACTCTGTTTTAGTTTGATTGAGTCTGTAATTATAGAGTCTAAGATAGCCGGTACATAGTCTGTAACTTAGAAGCTTCAAAATGCTCAAATTTATCATGCAGGCTCGGCTTTAATCGATTATATAGGTAAATAATCGATTAAAACAGATGAGAAAACCACTTTCTATACTAAGTCACTGTTTTAATCGATTAAAAAGCAAAATAATCGATTATTTCATACCGTTCAGATATGAATAATCGATTATTTCACCAAATAATCGATTAAACCGGAGAGGATTGGGTTCTGACGTATTTGGCTCTGTTTTAATCGATTAAAACTCCATTTAATCGATTATTCCAATCTGTTTCGATTTTAAACTTCAAACAAACCCTATTTCGAAAACCCAATTACCAAGAACCCTAGTTTCGAAAACCCCAAATCCTAAACCCTAATTTCCCTACTTAAACTCGCTTTGGCACTCGAAAAAAGAACAACTCTTTCCATACAAAAGTTAAGTGCTCGTGAGTGCCGAGAACTGTTTGTTGCAAGGAAAGGGGGCTTTTGGAACCTGGTGTGAGGCTAGAAGCGATAAGAATCACTAAGTGGAGTTCTTAGTGGATTGTGTCTGTGTCTGTCTCCGGGGAAAGCTGTTCTTCATCTCTTGTGGGTTTCAAGAGAGGTGTTATCTTTAACTTTATCTTTTCCATTGTAATTTGTTTTGTAACAATTTGTTCTTAGTGACAGCGTTAATCCTCTTTTGAGTGATTAGCAACTGGACGTAGGGTCTTTTGATCCGAACCAGTATAAACCTACTGTGTAATCTTCTCTACTCTTCTCTATTTACATTTATGTAGTTTTTAATCGGTAAAATTTGGGGAAAATTTGAAAACCTAATTTTTATTAAGAAACCAATTCACCCCCCCCTCTTGGTTTTTGTCCGACCACGCGAACATCTCACTGCGCGATTCTAACAAGTGGTATCGAGCTTGCTTTGATAGTCATTCAAATATTTTCGAAAATGGCCGGACAAAATCAAACTTTTGCCGAAGGTGCGTCTATCAACAGACCCCCACTTTTTGCGGGTCAAAATTATCCTTTTTGGAAAGTACGTATGCAAATATTTTTAGAGTCTCGTTGATAGAGGCGTTTGGGACGCAATTTTAAATGGTCCATTTATTCCTAAAATTACCGAGAACGGTGTTGACGTTCTTAAACCTATTTCTAGATGGACTGCAGAAGAAAGTCGAAAAGCACAATTTGATGTTAGGGCTAGAAACATTATTTCATCTGCTCTAACCCTTGATGAGTTTTATAGAATTTCAGTTTGTAAAAGTGCACAGGAAATATGGGAAATGCTAAGGGTGACCCACGAAGGAATTGACGACGTCAAAAGAGCACGTAAAAATTCTTTAATCCAAGAATACGAGATGTTCCGGATGCAACCAGGTGAAACGATATTTGACGTACAGAAACGTTTCACTCATATCGTGAACCATCTCACCGGACTAGGTAAAATTTTTGACGTTGATGAATTAAATGTTAAAATTTTGAAATCTCTGGATAGGAAATGGCAACCAAAGCTGACGACCATCTCGGAGTCACAAAATCTTGCCACTATGTCTATGGCGGCGTTATTTGGAAAGCTTAGGGAGCATGAACTTGACCTTGGAAGACTAAATGAGGAAGAGGGTCAATATCAAAAGAAGAACCTAGCTTTCAAGACCGAAATTTCAAAAAGCAAAAATAAGAAAGAAGAAGAAGAAGACTCGAAATTGATGAAGAAGAGATGAGTCTTTTTATAAAGAAGTTCACCAAGATGATGAAAGCAAAAGGAAGACATCCTTTCAAAGGTAAGGGAAAGGTAAAAGAAAATTCTTCCGTTAATATAAAATGCTTTGGTTGTGGTGAAGCGGGGCATATAAAGACCGAATGCCCAAACAAGAAAAATGATGAACCCAAGGGCAAAAAGCAATTCAAGAAGAAAGCATATATTGCTTGGGATGACGAGTGATTCAAATTCAGAATCAAGCGACTCGGAAATAGAAGCAAACAATTGCTTAATGGCAAATGACAACATTTCTTCGGATTTTGAGGTTAGTGATTCGATTCATTCTCTAGTGAAGAAAATGACCATGATGAATTGCAAAATGCTTATAATGAGTTATTTACTGCATTTATGGATATGAAAAAGGAATATAAAGTCTGTAAAGAAAAATCTAAGAAGATCCGAAAAGGAAAATGAGTCCTTAAAATTGAAAATTGCATGTTTAGAAGAAAAGGAGGTAGCTAATACGAAAATTATATGCTTAGATGAAGATAAGGACTTAGCATGTGCAAATTGTAAAGAGCATGAATATGACATAGATATTCTTAACCATTTGCTTGACAAAGCCGAAAAAGAAATTGATGATCTTAAGAAGAATGAAATGGTATTTGCTCAAAATAATGTAAATCATAGAGTTTCTTTGAAAAAGAGTAAAACTAAAAAGAAAAGAGTATGGGTAGAAAAAGGAACTAGAGCATGTCATGTTAATAATGTATCTTGTTCTAAAACTACTTCAAATGCATGCTTCTATTGTATGAAACAAGGTCACACTTCAAATAGATGTAAAATTAAGCATTTTGGAGTTCCTAAAGGAAAATATGTTTGGGTTCCTATAGTTAAATGAATTGTTTGTCTCTTTTATTTATTCGAAGAAAATGGATCATTTAGTATGTTTTAAATGAATGCTTAGGTAAAAACATTTTATCTTGCATGAAGGTTCTTTACTTAAAGATTTTTGCGAAAAGCCTCTAAAATTGTTTTTAAACAACTAAAAACAAAGTATTTTTACAAAAGCTTTCTTAAAACATGTTTTTAACTGATGCAGTTTTAAAAGAACCAAATAAAATCACTTAGAATGTTCAAAGAAGTGTTTTTACAGTATTTTAATCGATACAAATTGTTTTTAATCGATTAAAACCATTTAGAACTCATTGTGATCGATCAGATTTTTATTATGAGCGGTCAGAATCTTTTAAATCGATTAAAAACACGTTTCAATCGATTAAAATTACTTAAAGGGTCAGGATGATCGATCAGAATCAAATTATGACCGATTAGAAGCAAATGTGATCGATCAGATTTTAATTATGAGCGGTCAGAAATTTTTCAATCGATTAAAATCACTTAAAGGGTCAGGATGATCAATCAGATTTTTATTATGACCGGTCAGAATCAGTTATGATCGATCATAATTTAGTTATGACCGATCAGAACTCTTTTAATCGATTAAAAACTCGTTTCAATCGATTAAAACAACTTAAAAATTTTTTCTACACTGCGTTTTAATCGATTAAAAGATGTTTTAACAGATTAAAACTGCACTTTTAACAGATTAAAAGAATCTTTTAACAGATTAATTAAACCAGCAGTTTTGAAAATCGTCTATAAAAACAGTTTGGCTTGAACTTTTTAAACACACATTGAATATAAGTTTTCACACATCCTTTAGCAATCAATCAAGCAACTGCGGTGCAAACACTTTGGAGATCAAGGATGTGCTACTTGTTGATGATATTGTTGGATCAACTGATAGTTTGTTATGTGTAGAATTTGCTAAGATTATGCAGGGAGAGTTTGAAATGTCTATGATGGGAGAATTAACATTCTTCCTTGGACTTCAAATCAAGCAACTTAAAGATGGCACTTTCATCTCTCAAACTAAACACTGCAAAGAGATTCTTAAAAAGTTTGGAATGGACACCTCAAAGGAAGCCAACACACCCATGGGAACTTCATGCTATCTAGACAAGGATGAATCGGGTTTGGAAGTTAATCAAACTATGTATAGAGGTATGATAGGATCACTATTATACTTAACTGCTAGTAGACCCGATATTATGCATTACTGTACTGTGTGTGTGCTAGATTTCGGGCTTGTCCTAAAGAATCTCATCTAATTGCGAGTAAAACATATTTTAAAATACTTAAAAGGAACTACTCGGATTTGGCTTGTGGTATCCGTCTGATGCTTGTATTAGTTTATTAGGATATTCTGATGCTGATTATGGTGGATGTAAAATTGATAGGAAAAGCACTAGTGGGACATGTCATTTGTTGGGTTCATCCTTAATATCATGGCATTCTAAGAAACAAGCATGTATAGCTTTATCTACCACTTGAAGCTGAATATATTGCAGCTGGTAGTTGTTGTGCTCAAATTACGTGGATGAAACAACAATTAGAGGATTATAGCATATATTTAAATGACATTCCATTAATGTGTGATAATACGAGTGCAATCAACCTAACTAAGAATCCGAGTAATGCACTCTAGGACTAAACATATTGAGATTAGACATCACTTTTTAAGAGATCATATCAAGAAAGGAAAATGCAAAATAGAGTATGTAGACACCAAACGTCAATTAGCAGATATATTTACTAAGCCTCTACCCAAGGATAGATTCTATGATCTTAGAAGAGACTTAGGGATATTAGAAATAGCTTAAAATCTGCTTAATTTGACTGTTTTCGGATGATTGTTATGTTAAAATTCGTGGTGTAGCATGTTCATAGGTTATTATGCATATAAATCTCAAAAACTTGATATAGCCTCTGGAATAATCGATTACTGGAAGTGATAATCGATTATTTTCCCTCAAAACGTCCAAAACAGGGTATTCTCCTCTGGAATAATCGATTATTTCGTGAAATAATCGATTAAATGCCTCAGATAATTGATTATTTGCTAGAAATAATCGATTAAAGCTGTCTGATATAGAGATAATCAATTATTTTGAGATATAATCGATTAAATGCGAACAGTTTTGCCTCCTAGCCGTTGCCAACGGATATTTTGCCATGGAATCTATTCTATATGACCGTTGGAAGTGTTTTCTCTATAAATAGAGACATCTTGGTCAATTATACTCACTTCAAACTCTTGCAATCAAGTTTTCTTGAAATCTATACTCTCTTTACCTCATTATTCCCTCACTTGTCTCCAAAATCTCTTCAAGTTTATCTACTCTTTCAAATGGCCTCTTCCTCTCGCCCTAAGATTCCTACAAGAAGAAGATCTGCACCTTCTTCTCATTCCCGTCCTAATTCTGTAGAAGGATGGATCTCTGATGCAGATGGTCAACAAGAATTTCTAACCTACTGGAAAGAAAAAAGCTATTATTTCTCCCAAATTTCTTATAGGTGAGCAATTCATTCATAGAGGATTTAATTTTCCTAATTTTCTTGAAATTCAAGGAGTTCTCTCGTTTATCCAAATGCAAGGTACTTACTATCCCGACTTAGTTAGGGTATTCTATTCTAAATTCAAATTTAGGGATCAAATTGCTACATCCCGTGTAAAAGGGGTTACCATAATTCTAGATGATGATATTTGGGAAAATGTTGCTCACTTCCCCATTAGAGAAGATGCTATTAACGTTTATGGTGAGCTAGATGACTTTGACAGGTTCCTAGCTTATCGATCTTTTCGCGGAATCCCTCCATGGAGATTGGCCGTATTCTTCATGCTTGGACCTTTGAAGAAGGAAGAACGCATGATTCTTCATTTGCTTGTATGGATCTTATGTCCCCGGGCCACAAACCATGCCCAATGCTCTTCTATTGATCTTCGCATTATTCATGCCATAATGAATAATGAACCTTTAGATTGGGGTGTTCTTGTCACAATGACAATGTTAAAGGCCAAACGTCATCCAACATTCAAAATTCCATATGCTCTTCTTGTATCCCGAATTCTTGAATATAAAGGAGTCAATGTCGAAGGTGAACAAGTTGTCCAGAACTACTAACTTGAACCGCATGCTTGGACGAGCACATTGATTCATCTACAAATGGTGCGGGTCAATGACATCTATGTTCATAAAGATGACGTCCAAAATCAAGGTAATGCAATTGAAGACTCGATGAAGATATGCCTCCAGCGAGTTGAGTTTCCCTCTACCCAAATACAAAGTATAGGAACATCCTCTTCTCATCAAGAATCAAAGCAATCCATCGAAGATATGCTTTCAGACATGAATCAAAGAATGCAATCATTCTTCAATCTTTCCGGTGTACGACATGATGAAATTATTCGCAGTATATCCGATGTAGATGATAGAGTGGGTAGATTAGAAAATAGATTTGATACACACTTTAATGATGAGGATAGTGAAGAATTTTAGATTTTATTGTATATTTTCTTTTCTTAATATCTTGATATTGTAATGAATGAATGATTATGAAATAAAATTTGATGTTTCTTTCATGCTATGATTGAGGGGGAGCTTTCTTTAACTTATGCATATTTTGAGGGGGAGCTCTTATGATTGATGTTGCAGAGTTCTTTTTGATTATAATCAAAATAGGGGGAGAAAAATTTAAAGCCTATGATTCAATATTAAATGTTATCTGGTATGTTTAATGTGTTTGTTAGTATGACGGATAAAACGAGGTTATTACAAGGGCTTTAAAAAGATAATTTTGATCATCATCAAAAAGGGGAGATTGTTGAACATTCAAGGACTTGATGTTGCAAATAATGATCATGAAGAATGTTGATTTTGATGATGATCCAAGAGCTTAAAGACTTAAAGTATTGAAGATTGAAGATTGATGATTTACGTATTGTAATAACTTCTGTTTTAGTTTGATTGAGTCCGTAATTATAGAGTCTAAGATAGCCAGGTACATAGTCCGTAACTTAGAAGCTTCAAAATGCTCAAATTTATCATGCAGGCTCGGCTTTAATCGATTATATAGGTAAATAATCGATTAAAACAAGTGAGAAAACCACTTTCTATACTAAGTCACTGTTTTAATCGATTAAAAAGCAAAATAATCGATTATTTCGTACCGTTCAGTATGGATAATCGATTATTTCACCAAATAATCGATTAAACCGGAGAGGATTGGGTTCCGACGTATTTGGCTCTGTTTTAATCGATTAAAACTCCATTTAATCGATTATTCCGATCTGTTTCTGATTTTAAACTTCAAACAAACCCTATTTTCGAAAACC